CGCAGAATTAGGGCAGGCAGCGCTGCTGAGCTCCTGCAAGGAGAGCTCCATCGCAGCATCCCAGCGGGACGGAGGGAGGCTCGGAGCTGGAGAAGCAGGGCTTGGGATGGGGACGGGGGCTGCGGTACCTAGTCGCCGTTGCGGAGGTCTCCGCCGCGGGTGCTGTTGGCGCACTCGGCGTCCTTGGCTTTCCGGTCCATCTCCCCCCCCTTGATCTTCTTGCGGGTCATGTGCCCGCGGAAGCTGGCCTGGATCTTGGCCGCCGCCGCGTTGGCGTCGGGGTCGTCCAGGGGGATGTCCAGGATGTCCTCATCCAGCTTCGTGCAGGCGCCCTCCTGCCGGCAGCGAGCGGCCGTTAGGGGGGCAGTTTGGGGCCTGGGGGTCGGGGTCAGGGTGTGTGCGGGCAACGGTGCGTGGTTGTGGGGTGGGAAAGGTGCCGCCATCCCACAAAGTACAGAAAAGCAACGGGAAATTGGGGAGATGCGGGGGAAGCGACTGCATCGGCACCCTGCTGGAAGCGCACACCCCGTGCACCACATCCTGACCCACAGCATCTCCCCAGGGCGCTGCGTGGAGCCGGGGGCAGTAATTCACGCCGTCACCTCTGAGGTGTGGAAAGGAGTGAAAAACAGGGGGAAAATCACCCACCGACCAAACGGGACCGGTGGCATCCCACTGTCACTGCATCGCTGCGTCACCCTGCCCTGGGCTCCTAAGGACTTTTGGGACAGTTCTGGGGGTTCCTCAGGAGCAAAGGGACGGCGGCCACAGCACGTTCACCCGTGGGAGAAAGCAGCTGGGGCTGATTCACACCGAGGGGTGGTCAGTGCAGGAGCAGGGACACCACGGTCATCACGCCCTGTGCTGCTGGGGAGGGGGCACGCGGTGTCACTGCAAAGCGCTGCTGTGGCAGTGGGGAGGGTGTCGGAAGCTTAAGTGACAGAGCTGGGGGAAATGCGATCATCAGGATGGAAATGTTACAGCCAGAGGGGAAATGCTATAGCCAGGGAAGGAATTTTATGCGCAGTGGGGAAACCCTATATCCACGGGGGAAATTCTATACCCACAGGGACAATTTGTACATCCACAGGGGAAATCCTGTCCCCAGGGAGGGCTTTGCCACCTTGCAGGCAGCCAGCAGTGTTGTGATGCCGGCGGAGCAGGAGGGCTAAAAAGGGGGAGAAGGAGGGAAAAAATGGGAAAATAGAGAGAAAAAGGGAGAAAGGCGAAAGCCGTGTGCTCTTCTGGCAGCTGAGCTGTGACCCGGCCGGGGGATGCAGCGCTGCTCTCCAGGGGTGCAGCAGTCACCTCTTTCTGAAGCAGCAAGCAGCCGCTTCGCCCCTTGTCTGTAGGAAACCTTCGCTCCTCCTGGGGAGCCGTTCTGGGGAGGCAAGGCTGAACAGGAGCAGAACGAGGTGTCTGCATGCTGGGCTTGGGAAAGGGGCTGCTGCCAGCCCTGCCCTGATGGAATGCTGTGCAAACCTGGCGGCAGGAAGGGTTGGGGTCCCTGAGCACCCCGTGAGCGGTGGTGTTTTGGGGTGCAAAGCACAGGGGTGCAGCACCCACGCTCCTGCAACAGCACAACGCGCAGCCCCGTGTGAAAGCAAACAAGCAAACCACCACCACCACCAGAAAGCAAAATAATACCCACACTAATTAAAAACAATCAGAAAGCAGCAGGGTACGTACGTTGCAGCAGTCCATGGCGGTGCGGGGCTCTCGGCGCAGGTGGCAAGTTGAGCGGAGCCGCTTGCCTACGTAATGCGCTTCCTCGGGGCGCCGCTCAGCCCACCTCCCCGCCAGCACTGCTGCTCCTGCCAGGATCGGGATTCAGCTTTTCAGTTTTTTTTTCCCCTTCTCTTTTTTTTTTTTTTTTTTGCCTCCTCCAATTTCTCTCCCAGCGACTCCCCTCGCCTCCGACTCCCTCCTAACGCTTAAAGGAGCCGGCAGCCCATGCCAGCTTCATGCAATATAAATCCCGCAGCACGGAAGATGCTATCAAGTATTTAATGGGATGGGGAGCTGGGCCCTGTGCCCACAGCCCAGATCAGGGTGGGGGGGCTGCGTTTTTTTCCCAGTGGAGCTGATTTCACTGTGGACACGGGGGCTGGGGCGCACCAGGGTCACACATACTGCAGCAAGTGGGGTTGATGTGACCTTGCCAGGGTGAATTTTCGGGGGTGATGACGTGACTTTTGGGGGTGATGTGACTTTCCAGGTGTGATGCTGAGCCCTCAGGCCAGGGGCTTCACCCCCAGCTGTGTTTTTGCAGGAGCAGAAGGAAACCTTCCCACACCAGCTCTGACCTACTTAGCACTGGGCCCCGAAGGAGGGCACGGATGAGGATGGTGAGGAGGGCTGCTCACGGTGGTCGCACTCACAGCAGCATCCCACTCCCAATCTGGGGGTGTTTTCTAGCAAAACGTTCAACCCGAGACATCTTTGGGGGTGTTGTGCCAATCCCCTGGGCCACGCTGCCACTGGGAGCCATGGGGACCCCCAGAGCAGCTCAGGGGGTGCAGCCGCAGCCCCCCGCATCGCCCACCTCACACTCCTCTAATCCGGGTTTGGGGTTGCTAAGCAACCACACAACTCGCCTGTGGGCTCTGCACAGTAATGCTGGCTCTGGCCAGCCCCCAAATCACGCTGTGGCCCCCCAGAGCCCGGTGGGGATGGGTGCCCCCCGGCAGGCTGCCTGCAGGGCTGGCCTCGCCACCCGCCCAGGGCTTTTGTTGCAGCAACCTTCCCACTGCCGTCAGCCGGCGTCATTGGTGCCCCTGTCACCATCGCGGTGGTCAGCACCTCTGTCCTGTTGTCATCACCATCCCTGTTCCTGTCGCTGTCACAGTTCCCACTGCTGTTACTGACCTGTCACCACCCCCACCACAATCCCCATCTCCACCCCTGTCCTTGTCCCCATCCCTGTTCCCATCTCAGTGTCGCTGCCCATTTCACCATTCTTGTCCCATCCCCATCCTCACACTCATTCTTGTTCCCCTCCCAACCTCAGCATTGTCATCACCTGCTTCCATCACCATCCTTGCCCCATCATTGCTCCTGTCTATCACCCTCTCTGTCCCCATCCCTATCCCTGTCCCCATTCTCATCCCTGTTCCTACCATCATCTCTGTTCCCATTCCCAACACCCTTTATCCCTGTCCCCAACCTCTCCCATCATATTTGTCTGTCTCCCCCCACCCCTGTCCTCTTCTCCATCCCCGCACCCCTCACTGCCCCTCTTCCTTATCTCCATATCCATTCCCTTCCCCATTCCTTTTCACCATCTCTGCTCCCTTTCCCATCACTGCCCCTGTTCTCTCCCTATCCGTCTGTCCCCATCTCCATATTTCCATCCTGCCCTAAGAGGGGTTGTGGGGGTTATCCACAGCCGCCTCCAGGCACAAGCACTCGCAGTGGCATGCAGGTTGTAGGGCTGAGCATCCCTCGAATCCCCATGAGCTGCTCACTCCTGCTCTCCCAAGCGGAGCCGGCTTCAAGTCCCTGCAAATGCCACCTCTTCCCACCAGCGCGGGGAAAAAATAGCTGCGCTCTCAGCACCGATCTGCTCCAGCTTCCAGACAAAGACTGCACTGCTCAGCCGGTGTCTTCAGATGGGAAACCAATCCCCTTCTCTTTTTAGAGCCTCCGGATTGATCGCTGGTTCCTGGCAAGGCAAGAGGAGGCATTTCTGGGGAGCTAAGCAGAGCCAGGGCGATGGGTGCATAGAGGGGATGGCTGCAGGAAAAATCTGTGCTAATGGGAAACGTCAAAAATCGCTGTGCAAAAAGCTCATCCCACTACCTGCCAAACCTGTAAAATCCCTCAGTGTAAGGGACCTGGGGAGCGTTTTGGCCCTGGACTCTCAGAAGCAGCTCCATCCGCAGCTCCTCAGTCCTGGCAGAGTCACTGATCACCACGAATCCTGCAGGCTGCGGAGGAGGGACGCAAAATGCCAGAACATTTCTAATCATTAGCAGCATTTTGAGCCCATGCCAGCCTCTGCCTTCTTCTCCCCGTGCTGTTGCTCACAGTGAGGGCACCCCAAAACCCATCCACCCTGAGCAATGCTTTCGAGGCATTCAGAAACCCCTTAGCATCACCCTGGGATGCAGAATAACACATAACCCATGGGATGGAAATGGGTGACAAGCCCCAGCTTGGGGACATGCCGGCACAACACGGTGTTGGCACAGAACCCTTTGGGGAGCGGGGCTGGCAGCCGGCAAGGCGGCGCAGGGTCAGGGCGCAGCGGCTGGCACCAGCCCTGCATGGGGTCCCCGCCAGCTGTCCCCATCCCTCCTTCCTGTTTTTCTCAGCCTGCACATGGCAGCTCCCGACGCCAGCGCTGCAAGGCGGTGTGGCTTCCCTCCGAGGTGAGCCTGGAGGGACTGCAGATTCCTCCACACTGAGCAGCCCTCCATCGCCCATCGCCCATTTTTCGCCCCACTGTCCACTTCTCAGGGCTTTGATTTTTGCCTGGATTTCACCATCGCTTCCCAAACACAGCTGGGAGGACCCACACGGACCCCCAAACTGCTGCAGAGATCCAGATGCATCCCAGCCTTGGTGGGGGGTAATGGCAGAGGAGCAGTGTCACATCCTTCCTTCTCACAGGGACGATATTAAATTTTGACAACCTCCAGGGATGCAGGGGCCTAAATATAGAGCATTAAATACCACCTCGAGGCGCGCGCCTTTGCAGAGCTTTTCTCCCCTCTCTCGGTCGTGCTGGAAGGGCACGGCTGCTAACATTGAGCTTTCGGGGGAGAAACCTCAGGTGAGAGCTGCTAATAACAGCAGGGACCTGGGGAGAGCGTTACCGGAGGCATTTTATTAAGTTCTCATTATGCAAGTGCCTCGGCGGCAGCGCGAGAAAGAATTTTCTGCCCCGCGAAGCCGCCTGGGAGGGGAATGTAGGTTTTCCAATCGCGGCTCCTCATTCTGGGTCAGGACGTTTCCAAACGGGGGCGAGGCGCCCGCTCCCGGCGGAGCCGTCCCGGTTACGGGTTGTCCTGGGGGGGCTCCGAGAAGGCTCTGCGCAGCCCCCGCCGCGTGCAGAAGCCCCGGAACGCAGCCTGGATTTTCGTAGCAGCTTCTTGAGAGGTCAGGAAATCGGCCGTCGGGTCTTCATCGCGAGGGCTGCGCTGCGCAGGGCAGGAGGCGGCTCCGCGGCAGGGCACCGAGCGAAGCGGAGAGCCGCGGGGCTGAGGGCCCAGCTGAAGGCTGGAGCGGCTCACCTGGCGCTCCATCACCGCCCCGCTGCTCCGCGGCGCCTCGGCCTCGGCCTCCTCGTCCTCTCCCATCTCCCCGTCTTCGGCCCTTCGGGCGGCGGAGCTCTCTGGGAAGGAAGCGCAGCCTGATGCCCGCAGCAGGGCGGCCCGACGCCCCGGCTGGGCGCGCTGAACGGGGCACGCGGCGGGGCGGGGCCGGGCGCGGGGCTCACTCACGCTCCCTCTCAGCCAGCAGCGCCTGGAAGTATCGGGCGATGAAGCCCAGCACGTCGTCGGGCTGCGCCCTTAGCACCTCCCGCGCCATCCCCTGCAGCAACTCCTCGAAGCCGCCGGGCAGCCGCGGGGCGCGGCGGGGGTCGAGAAACGACATGGCGGCCGCGGCGAGCGGAGAGAGCGGGACTCGAACCCGCGTCCGGCCGCCGGGAGAAGCTCCTGCGTGACCGCCAGGGGGCGCCGCCCGCACCCGTCGGCGCCCGCAGCGCCTGCGCAGAGTCGCCCGAAGGGTTGGGGGAGAGGGGATGAGCAGAAGGGGGCGCGTGCGGGTGGGGGGCGAGCAGCAGCGCCCGGCCCGGCCCTCAGCCCCCGCCCGGCCTTACGCCGATCCTCGGCCCCCGCCCCGCTCCTGCCTGACCGCCCCGCTCTGAGCTGTGCGGCGGCCCGCGGTCCCCTGGCAACGGAAGCGCGGCGCGACGCGCGGCACGGCCACGCCCCCCCCCCCCGGCCACCCCCCCCGCCCCGCTCCCGTTCCTGCAGCCCGCAGCTCCAAACTTAGCGGGCTGCTTCGCGGTGTCGCCCCACGCTGCTCCTGCGCGCCCCTTCCTCCCCGCCTCCCGCTCCGACCCGCTTTTGTCTTCGAGAATTTCTTCTCACCCTTCCCCTTCTCCTCCTGCTGTTGCTGCTCCTCCAAGGGGAAACCTGGGCTCCTTCCTTCCCCCACCGTTGGTCCCCCATTGCCCGCTCCTGCTGTAACACCGGGACGAGCTCTTAGGAAAGGAGCAGCGCCCAGCAGCACTCCCATGAAGGCAGCACAGTTCTGTACTGAAAGGCAACGTCTCCACTTTTTTTTTTTTTTCAGGAAAGGATGGAAAAATTCAACCCCAGCACATAAGAAAAGGGCGCCCCAAACACAGAGAGACACAACGGTGAGCTCAGCCTGCCCCCCGACAGCCACCACCACACCTGTAACAAAATCAAAGTTTAATGACAACCAGCACTGCTGCTGTGGAAGAGGACGGAGCTGGATCCCAGCAGAGGAGCTGTGGCCAGGCTCAGGAGTCATGGGCGTCTTCATCCTTGGCTTCCACTGCAGGCTTCATTTCTGGATGGGGTTGGAGGAAGAAGACATCATTATCTGGGCCTTTGAACCACCTCAACCCAGCATCCTGGGCTTCTCTCAGTCAGCTAGCCCAGAGCTGCTTGTGCTAGCCCTGCAGTTGCCATGCCAACAAGGATGCTAAATACAGCTCAATCTTTCTTTCTTTCCATATTTATTCATTTTAAAACCACAGACCGCAGGCTGCATGTTCAGGGCCAGGAAAGGAGTGCAGACATTCTGGCTCCCACCCTGCCAGGGATGAGCTGTCTTGCAGAGCCCAGAAACCACAGCAAGCAGCTTGAGAAAACAGCAAAGAAGGTGCCCCCAGCTCCCCAAAAATCCAAGCATGTGAGAGAGGAAGCGTTGGTGTCTTGGGAGCCTGCCCACCACCCCACTGTCACAGCAACAGCAGAACATCACACCAGCACCCCAAAATTTAGTTTGCCCCCACCCATCAGTAGGCTGGGTTGTCGTCTTCTCCAAAAATGAGGACAACCCCCAGCCCCCCAATTAGACCAGAGTTTGGGTTTAAGCCTCCAGCTCTGCAGTCTCCTCAGCAAAACTGTTCCTATAGCAACTCCTGCCCACGCATCGGCTCGTGGTAGCATCAGGCCCTGTTTGCCAGAACCAGTCTCCGGTCAGAAAAAGGGAAGATGGAGCCATCGCCCCCTCAGCGACCCTCTGCAGCACCCCAGTCCAAAAAGCTTAAAGGTCTGGGCAGAGGTTAAGGGCCAGAGCAGACAGATTCTGCCTCACCCCCAAGGCGGAATGCAACAGTGCGGGTGCCGAGAAGACAGCGGATAGGGCATCTCTACCCCAAGGAACCTACCGATGGCCTCGCCATTGCCCAGGGGCGTACAAGGCTGGTGTTTGGGCTTGGCGGCCTCCAGCCCGGCCAGCAGCGTCATGAAGTCAACAACGGTGTCGATGTCCTGCTTCTCAGCAGTGGCCTCCCGCAAGGCACTGACGGCATTGAGGCGGCTGAAGGACGTCAGCTCGGAGATGTTGGCCCGGAGGAAGAGGAGGATGACGTTGAGGTCGTTGATGGGACAGGTAAGCATCTTGCGACTGAGAAGGTCAAAGGCAGGCAGCATCTCATAGACGGAGAGCAGCCCTTTGTCCCACTGACAGAGCTGCAGGGCACTGTAGACGACGACGGGCATAAGGAGGACATACACACCACCAACCGTGAGGCTGATGAGCTGGAAGACAGAGAAGAAGGCCAGCTTGCAGGGTATGAGCGGGGGAACGTGAGGCTCGTCCTGGAGCAGCCCTGTTTTGATGGAGCAGCTGAACTCATCCTGGAAGAAGATGTTGAGGTGGAGGAAGACCAGGTAGAGGCAAGTGGCAGCCAAGAACAAGAGCAGGAGGAGGTTCCTCAGGAGGTAGATGATGACCAGGGAGTGGGAGTGCTGCTTGCGGGCAAGGTAGCGCTCCAGCAGAGGGAACTCGAAGTACCTCTCCTGGCGAGCCCTGGGGAGAGAGCAGTGAGTTGGAGCCACCCACCGCTTCACCAAAGCCACAGTGAGGGAGGAGGTGACCCAAAGGCGGTGTGGAGGGGCTACGGCTGGATGCCTGCGCCGTGCCGTCTCACCTCTCGTACTCCTCCCAGAACTGCTCCGGGTCATCGCTCGCCTGCTGGACCTTCCTCATGTGCTGCACCAGGCGCACGGAGCGGTTGTAGGACTTGTCCAGCTCGTCGATGATGAAGAGGAGGTCAGAGTGGAGGGCGGGGGAGGCTGCGTAGCGCCACAGCAGGTAGGGCAGATACATGAGCACCGCCACCACCAGCAGCGAGTACGGGAAGACCTGAGGGAGACCATCTGGAGGTTAGGGTTCCCCAGGAGAGAGGGATTTCAGGGGGAGATGAGGCGCTCAGCTACTTTGCCCTTCAGGATCCGCCCCCACCAACACGGCAGCAGGACCTGGTGGCACCCAGTCACCGAGGTGGTGGCCCCGTGCCAGCCCACCAGTGTACCTTGAGAGCCCACAGGGACTTGGTGACAGCACGTCCCTCAGCATCGAAGCCGTGGTGGAGCAGCGAGTCCCAGCAAGCTGTGTCAGCATAGGCAGATTGCTTCCCCGTGAAGTTGGAGGGAGAGAAACAGCTGATCTGTGAACCTACAAGGAGGAGGGGAGCTGAGCAGGTAGGACGGGGCTCTCTGTAGATATCTGTCCCTGTTGCAGTGTTTTCTGGCTGTCAGGGGCAAGGGCATTACTATTTCTTGAACGCTGCCCTTTAAGCACAGCCACAGGTTCATAGCAGGGAAATTTGAACCAGACACAAACCAGCACAAAACCAAACATTGCAGGGCCACATAAAAACAGTGGCCAAATCCAGCTTTAGCTCAGTGCTGTGATGCACAAAACAGCACCTTCAATGAAGCTTTGTGCTGCTATCACCAGCCTGCTCTCATTATCCAAGCAAGCACCAAGCCCTGGGACAGTAAAACCCCCAAAGAGTCCCAGGGAAGATCTCAGCACCCCGCTGACAGCTCCCAGCAACACAACCCTGCCTTTCTGATAGGAGCACTGCAGGGTGCTGTGAGCAGAGCAGCAGGTGAAAGGGGGCATGGCTGCACTCGGAGGGCTACCAGCAAGCAATTAAAAAGATAATAAATGAAAAATCAATAAAAGCTTTTACATCAAACAAAAAACCCCGTCAGGTTGATTAAAATCAATTAAAAAACAACCAATAATCCCAAGACAGAAAATTTAAAACCCCTAAAGTGGGATTTCCAAGCTGTAATGTCATGACAGTGAAAAAACAGGCTGTGACAGTTCTCACCACCCCAAACCTGCCCCCACAACTCACCAGCAGAGAACTCCCGGGCGAAGGCCAGCGAGACCAGGAAGAGGGGCAGCCCCACTGCAATGAACTTCAGCACGCGGTCGCTCGGCAGCTCCAGCCGCAAGCCTTTGGCACGGGAGCTGCTGGGCTCTGGGAGGAGGGCATCTGAAAGCATGTATTCGGCAGCCGTGTGCGACAGGGACATTTTCCTCTCCAGGAAGGACTGAGCCACGGGGAAATGGAGCCCAGTGCTGCTGCCTGGGGGTCCTGGTGCTGTCTGAGGTGCAACCAGCGTGGCGAGAGGCTTTGTATGGCTGGAAACATTGCATGCCAAGTGCTACCAACCAGGCAGCTGTAAATGACAGCTTAGATAGTGAGTTAAATCAACTGATAATTACAGGGGAAGCCTTTCACTGGCAAGAATGCAAATAGCGTGCCTCAAAATAGAAAAAAAAACCTCGCAGTCACAGCACCATGGCCAAGGCAGCATTCCTGCCCGGCCACCATGGGTCCCAGCATGGACCAGAACCCCGTGGTTTTACTCCCCTCTGTCATAAGTAGGTGTATTTCCAGCAGCATGTTCGTGGGGCGTGGGGCTCCTGGACTATTTTTGCTTTCCGTAACAAGCGAGGATGGGGCATCACCCTAACCAAGAGCCCTAGCCAGGTACAGAGCGGCCTCATAGGGTACAGAGCCTCCTTCCAGCACTCCTGTGCGTGCCAGGGCTGCTGGAGAAGGTCCTGCTGCTCAGTTCCCAAACCTTGGGGACAGGCCAAGTGGCATCAGGAGCTGAGAAGACATCAGTGATTGCACTGTTGAGATGCACACCAGCTGTTGCTCCCTGCGCACCAGCTTTGCAATCTCCCCTTGCCCACCCTCTAATCTGGCTCCAGGGGAGCGCAGTGGAGACAAAGCTGCAATTTCCAGTAGGACAGAGATGCAAGTATTGGGATCTAGAAAAAAACAGTATGGAAATTAGGAGTTGGTGAGATGGAAGAGAGGACAGGAAAGCTCCCAGCTGTGGCAATACGACTGCTGCCCAAGAAGCCAACAGCCAAAGCCAGGGGAGCTCTGGATTGTTCAGTCAAGCTGAGGGGAGTCCCTGCCATGCTGTGGCTCTGGGCAGCCTCTCAACACAGCCAGAACTCAGAGCTGCTGCCAAATTTCACTTTTTCTGTGTTGTTTTGGGTTTTTGGTTGTTGTTTTTTTTTTTTTTCCAGACAAAGGCAGTCTCCAAATTTGAGTGCCAGGATGTAAGATAGTACAGAAGGGCTGAGGCAAGGAAGCCCTGAACCGACTTGCATTACACTCAGAGGTGTTCAAACGTGCCCAGGCACTGAGGTCCACCTGTCCTGACCACGGAGAGCCACACAACCTTCACCTTTGCAGAAATGGATTCTTTATTGGACAGGGACAAGTTCAGAGCACAGACTGGTCGATGCCCAGTTTCCACCCA